AGATCTGCCAGCAGTAGATTTCCTCTCTTGCTCTAAAAGTGGCAAGGAACAGACTCTGCACTCAAGTTGGGAAGGACATGTGGATGTTGGAGGTACAGATGCCTGAGAGTCACACACACACCCCCAGAGATCTGAGGGCACATAGAGCCTGCTAAGTAGGCAGAGCCCCTAAATTCTACACCCAGGGCATTCCAGGGGCACGGGCAAGGCACGGAAAACCGGGTCTTGAAAAAAGCTTCCCAAGCTATGCGGATGATCCACCAAGTTTGAGAATGCTTAGTTTGACTCATATTCTCTCTTTCACTCCCCCCACCCCCCCACCCCGCATTTAAATTCAGAAATAGGAAAGCCAAGGAAGGCAAGGCTTGGAAGAAAGAGCAAATGAGAGAGAAGAGATTTAAGTACCTTTCCAAGCTGAGAGTTATTAACGGCCAGCCCAATAAGCAGGTGTGGAACACAACACTCTCACAATGGAAGTTAAGACCCGGCCCCAGCACCTGAACCCAGAGCACCAACTGGAAAACCCACCCGGTGAGCAGAGCGAGAAGTGCAAGACAGTAGAGAGGGCAGTGTGACACAGTGACACAGAAAGTGCCCGTACATAGAAGGCTATAGGCCTGCAGTGTGCACACACACACACACACACACACACACACACACACACACACACAAGACAGTAGAGAGGGCAGTGTGACACGGTGACACAGAAAGTGCCTGCACATAGAAGGCTATAGGCCTGCAGTGCACACACACACACACACACACACACACACACACACATACACACACGGCTGAGAAGGGAGAGGCTCAGGAGGCTGAGACAGGAGGTTCATGAGTTCAAGCCTGGGCTACTTTGGAAGACCCTAGCTTAGAAAAAAATAACAAAAAAAGGAGGAGAAAGAAGAGGGAAGGGAAGGGTAGAGGAGGGAGGGAGACCGCTGACTGTTTAGATAGTTCACAGCACCAACAAGACTCAGTCTGCAGACTGACATTGAGCAGCCCAGCCTGACGGGTTTACAGCCTCTGTTCTGGGAGGTCACCTGTCTCCCTCTGAACCTTTAAACTTCCCCCAAACACTGCAGCGCATGGGGTGGGGTGTGGAGGCCCTGTCCACTACGGTGACGGAATGCCTGGTGTGTGGCTGGGTGTTCGAGGACCAAGCTTCTGGCCTCCTTCCCTCCCAACTAAAAATAAATTCCAGGTCACCAGACCACAGCTGCCCAATGTAATGGGTTTGAGATCTCTGGGTCAGAAGAGACTAGATGGCCAAGGGGTACTATCATGAGGGGATGCATAACGGGAGAAAAAGCCTGGAGTCTTCTAGAAGGATGCTTCCTTAAAGAGAAGGGAGGGACAAGAATGAAGCATTGGCTCTTACACACACACACACACACACACACACACACACACACACAGAGGGGGAGGGGTCCTCAACAGGACAGAATGTCCCTAGAGGCCCTGGCCAGTCATCAGAATGATGACCCTGCCATCTCATCAGATAGGGCTGACTTGACCACAGCCTAGCCTTTAATACTACAAATTGTCTTTCCTTTTTGGCTGAGCTCATGATAATAGCTCCGAGGGAAGGAAGAAGTCTATTTCCTTTGTTGATAGTTCCAGCCTCGGGGCACAGCACGAGTTGGGCAAGTTAGTAGATACTTAGTGGATGGATCGCAGACAAGTCACTGGCAGACAAACCATTTTACTATCACGTCAGCCATTAATAGCAGCAAAATCAGCACAAAGCGCTTTGTAATCCACAACCTGTTGCTTAATTCCTCTGACTTTCTCTAACTGAACTGCTATGTGTGTTTGGATGGGTCCCAGGAGACCACTGGTCTTTACAAGACAGACCGCCCAAGAGCCAACTCTGACGAGCTGCCTACACAGCGGCGTAGCCCTTGCTCCGTTGGGACCCTGAGACGCAGCCACTGCTGAACCGCCATGTCTTTGAACGGATGAGTGTATTAGGGCTCAGTGTATCTGGTATCCTCAGGCCAAGAGAGCACCAAAGCCTCACAGAAAAATGGGGCGTGGGAACAGTGCTGCCTAAGGTTAAATTCTTTAGCTCTAAAGTCTCACTGCTTTTATCTTCTCCTCGCTGGTGACCTTTGACCTCACTTAGTCCTGAGGACCTCACCTGTAACAAGTATATAATAGCAATCATGACTTCAGGGATCGGGAGATGGCTGGGTAAAGCACTTTCTCCAAGTGCAGGGACCTGAGATGGAATCCCTCGAACTCTTGTAACTCTGGACACACAGTCTGAGTGTCTGCCATCCTATTGCTCCTCTGGGGAGATGAGAAACGGAGACCGGAGAATCTTCCAAAGCTTTGGAGCCAGCTAGCCTGACAGACACAGGGGGAAAACAACAGAGACCCTGTTTCAAGATGGAATGTGAGGGACTGACACCTGAGGATGTCCCGTAACCTCTGCAGGCAAGCTGCGACACGAAAGCACACAGTCACACACACAGGAATGCATGGGGGGGGGGGACGACAGAGAATGACTTCCTAGAGGTCTGTGAGACAAACCAGGAGGCTCCCGGAATGACCGACACTACACCTGCTGCCCGACTCGGGGCAAGCGAGACAAAGTATGACAGCCACAAGCCATCCCTTTCCAGGACCATGCAGGCCACTGCACAGCAGCACCAACTCCAGTCACTCGCCTGCTTCCTAGACCTCAAATTCCTGTTCTCTGCTACAGGGAGGACATGGCCACCAGGACTAGGTAAAGAGCAAAACATCAAGGGTTTCCAGAGCTCCGCACAGAGACTGGTACCGTTCCTCAGTGTCAGCCGGCACCTTAGCACCATTGCGGGAAGTCGTGCGAGCCTAAAATGCCAACGGGGAAATCCGCAAAGGCTGTTTGTCGCACACAATAGGCCTTCCGCGCAGCCCCATCAGCTGCAAGGGCCTCCACCAGCTCCAAGAAATAGTTTCCCTCTGTCTGACCTGGACATTTGAGAGCCAGTTCTAGGGGCATGGCGGCCTTCCCCCAGAGGCTCAATTCAGCTGCTCCAACGGCCTCAGCCCCCGCTGTGCCGCACCCTGATGGTGAGCAGGGAGCTCGAGAGGACATGCAAATACGCCCTAAAAACAGCTTGTCATCTTCACGGCCTGGATGGTACATGTCTGTGGGTGCCTGTGAGGACAGATCGTCACTATCAAGTACAGGGCATATGCCACCAGTCTGGGGGTGGCTGTGAAATGTAAAAATACCAACCCCAAAATGGTTTTTTTTCCTCCAAAAAAAGGAAGCTCCTCCAAGGTCTTTGGGGGAGGCGAGATGTGGAAAACGTTGTACCCAGGCAGGTCACAGCTGGGCCAATGCTTACCCAAAGTGGCTGGTTTCCTCAAGCTACTCATGGCCTCAAAGTTCAATGACACTGTTCAGTTAGTGGCTCTCAGAACAGAAAAACCCAAAAGGGACCACTTTCAGGCAGTGGGTCTAGGAAGGGGAGAAGCAGAGGACAAAAGGCCAGGGTCTTCTGTGACAGAGGAATATAGTCACTCAGTTCTCATCCTGGAATCGGCAGTCTTTAGTAGACACCAGGGATACCCTCAACCCAGGTGTCTCAAGCCCAGAGGCTCCAGGAGAAACCATGCAGTGGCAGGGAAAGCAGCTAGTGATAAGATAGGTAAAACAGCAGAAAAGGCAGGGTCAAGGTTCCAGGAAGGCATCAATCAAGTCTATGATAATCAAGACCGAGACAAATCTCTCCATCCATTTAGCCTCTGATGCCTGACCAGACAGCAGTGTGCAACCAGACTTTCCAAAATTTTTGTTGAAATTTTTAAATGAAATATCGGGTTGGGTTGCTCTTACAACACTGAGTGGGCCAAACTAAACACATCTGAAAGCCAACTCCGGTCTGCAAGGAGTGAGCTTGCTACTCAGGGCAAGCCCCCAGAAGCCCTTCTCCGTGACTTTCAAGGTACTCACATGGAAAGAGGGGGCGAGCAGAACACAGCCTGACACCTTTCTCCATCCCAAAGCCCCTCTCCACAGCTTGCAGCCTCCAAGCTCTGAGTCTCCAGTAAAGCTCACCTTTGCATGTGAGCACTTTCTCCAGGCAGGACACACAGACACACACACACACACACACACACACACACACGCACGCACGCACGCACGCACGCACGCACGTACGCACACACACACACAATGCTCGGCTACTGACTGCTCTTAGCCCACTCCTACCTCTACCTCCTGCCCGTGGCTCCTTCCAGGTGGTGGATTTTTAGAAGAAACAGCCCTGCAGGAACCCTCACCAGGTTAGGCCTTTGCACAAACCAAGCCACCAGCTCTGGGTAAATGTGTGAGGCGTGCACTACACTGGTACCCCAGGACCCAAGCTAGGGACAGTTGCCTCTCACTAGTCACTGGGGAACAGCTGTGCTGACACAGGAGGTCCTGAGAACAGCAGGTGCAGGAGACCTCAGGAGGGGGGGTGCTTCCATGAGTCAGTCCCCTGCAAACCCATCTCAGGCAGATGGTGCTGGGGACTGAAGTCATACCTATCTTTGCAGCAGCATAAAGAGGAAGGCCACACTCTCCTTTTTCCTAACTTCTCTTGTTCAACCCCAGATAGGAGCCAAAAAGGGTAAAAGCTGTGGTGTGACCATTGACATGAACTTTTGAAAAGAACTCAATACCCTCTATGCTTTTCAAAACATGACCTCCATTGATCCTGCCAGACCCCATAGAGACTACTAAGAGATTCGGCTCAGTATACATCACTCTCCTCTCACCTTCTAGACCCACAGGCAGGGCAAGCCTCCTGCCCTAGCCCAGTGCATGAAAGCATGTCTGAGTCCCCCAGAGCTTGGTAAAAACACAGGTTCTGACTCAGCAGGGTTGGGGTGAAGCCTAAGCTCTCCCGTTCCTCCTGCCGGTTCTCAGACCACGCACCCAAGAGCATGGCTGAGGTTCCAAGGTGTGTTTAGAACCAAACCTGGAAGCCTGGGCTTTGTCTGGAGAATAAGGATCTCACCTCGCTCTTCACGGGTTGGGGCCTCTTGCCCAGTTTCACCTCCAGGAAGTGCAAGGGCGCAATCATGGCCCCAATGTTGCGGATGTCAGCGTATTTCAGCTCCTCTGTGGTCAGAGCAGAGCTGGGAAGTCCGGTGAGGGGGCCGAGCCCTGGCAGAGAGCCTGCGGTCACTGAAGGGTCTGGGATCTGCCCAGGCATCATAGCAGGAGTGGCAGGCCGGCCTGGAGGGGTTGGAGAAAGCAGGATGGGTAGGTTAGCTTGAAGAGAAAAGGCTGTGTGAGCTGCCAGGACCCATCCTTTCCTCAACAGGGTTCCCCTGAATCCTTTCTCCTCTTGGGTGTTCTCCCTGCCTGTAAGCCCCAAGTCCTGGTGGTGCAGGGACCTGAGCCAATTGACTCACACTAAAGCCATCCATCTCTGGCACACAGGGACGAGTTAGCCCTTTCTAAAGGGCAATGCTTAGCCCAACTGTGGGCAGCGCTGGCCTGGCACTGGCTTGGCACCAGGCTGCCCATAGTCGTCCCGCCCGCCACAGCAGACCTGGTCAGAATCCCCTGCAAAATCAGAAAGGTAGCTCCTCTGGGCCCTGCACAAAAGCTGGTGGGCTGGGCTTAAACAGCAGTGGCAGCCTCTGAGGAGACTGCGCACAGGCAGCAGTGGAATCTCAGGCACCTTCACACCTGTTCAAGAGGCCAGCTATTTTCGGTCTGGCATGGTGCCTCCCCTCAAATCACACATCCTACTCTGCACACTCGCTAAGACACCATGAATACAAGATGAAACTAAGCAAAGTTAAAGGTGACCGTGTACGTGTCCGATGCCCAGGGAAGAGACTGGGGTAGAGAAGACGGAATTAATTTGCATGTACTTTCTCCCTTCTCCGTGCACCACCAGAAAAGTCCTCCAAGATCTCTCTATTCTCAGAGCCCCATACAAGGAAAGACAGAAGCAAACTTGAAAGGACATAAAAGGGGATGAACACCCAGGAAATTCTTATTTCTTCCTTCCCTTTACTGAGGGAATCTCATGGGCAAGACAGTCATTTCCAGGCATAGATATAAGGGAAGAAAGTCTGTCTGTCAATAAACATATCTAAACATCCAGACATATCTAGTCCTCCAGCCCACCCATCCGTCTATCCACTCATCATCCTTCCATCCATCCAATTACTGAGCAGCTATTATGAGCCAGCAGACACTACAGCACGGAGGTCAGAGGTTCATAGCCTCGAAGCAGCCTTGTATGAAACAAAGCCGTCCACACATTCCAGTGTGATAAGGGAAGTAAGTTCTTATTTTTCCCACCTCTCTGCCTAGGTCCATAAAATCCAATTTCTACGGTCTTAGAAATCAAGGGTAGCCGGGCGGTGGTGGCGCACGCCTTTAATCCCAGCACTCGGGAGGCAGAGGCAGGCGGATCTTTGTGAGTTCGAGGCCGGGCTGGACGGATAGCCTCCGAAACAATACAAAGAAACCCTGTCTCGTAAAAACCAAAAAAAAAAAAAAAAAAAAAAAAGAAATCAAGGGTAGTGGGCAAGCAATGGACATGTGTTCTCTCCTTTCGTCTTCATCTGTCTCTTTGGGGACAAGGACACATAGGTCAGGACAGGGGAGACAGACAACAGCTGGGCCAGGCTTCTCCACTGTCAGAGTTCAAGTACCCATAAGGCTATGATTTGGGGGGTTATCTGTCTTCATACATAAGTGACCCTTACCACCTGTCCTCATTCAATTTCTCAGATCTAAAATCAAGAGAAGAGTACACCCACAGCCCATTTTATCCATGAAAACAAAACACATTCTCCATTTCAGCTCGAAATCTGCTTCCCTGTCTAAGTCTTGGGCCTACTTATTTTTATTTTTCATTTTACATGGTGTGTAAAGGCATTTCGCCTGCACGTATGCCTGTTCACTACATGGGTAGTGTGTGGTTGGTTTTTTCCTTTTTCACTCTTTGAGGTACCCGCTACCCAGCTCCCAAATAAACACATGAAGACCTATTCTTACTTATGAATGCTGGGCCTTAGCTTGGCTAGTTTCTAGCCAGCTTTTCTTAAACTGTCCTATCCACCTTTTGCCTCTGAGCTTTGACCTTTCTCTATTCTGTGTACCTCTCTCTCCTTCTTACTCCATGGCTGGTTGTGTGACTGGGTGGCAGGCCCCTGGCTTCCTCCTTTCCTTTTCCTTTTCTCCTTTCTCTCTCCTTTTCTCTCCTCCTAGTTATTCTCTCTGCATTCCAGCCCCGCCATTCCTTTCTCCTGCCTTGCTATTGGCCACTCGGTTCTTTATTAGCCCAGTCAGGTGTTTTACACAGGCAGAGTAACACAGCTTCACAGAATTAGACAAATGCAACATAAAAGAATGCAACACATCTTTGCATCCTTAAACATATAAACGAATGTAGCACATCTGAAGCTAATATTCCACAACAGTTGTGAGCTACCACATGAATGCTAAGACTCAAACCCAAGGCCTTTGGAAGAGAAGCCTGTGCTCTTAACTTCTGAGGCATCTCTCAAGCCCTCTGGGCCTGCCTCTTAAAAACACATGAGCGATTTGCACCTACAAACACAGACTTCATTGGCTGGTGAGCTGGCCATTCCTGAAGTACCATCGCATTGCCAACAGAGTCCCTGTCATGTAGGGACCTTTCACCTGAGCCCCGCCTACTCTACCCTCAATACCTGCTTCTCCCTGCTCGCAATGCCCTCCCCCACACCTCCTGAGCACCCAGTGTGCCCTGGGCTACTGCAGAAAAGGACCTGAGCCTGGTTCACACTGAGTGGCAGTCTCACAGCTGGGGAAGGCCCTGAATTCATCCCAACCACATCCTCTTTTTGCACGATGAGGTGAAGCTCAGAGAAGCTAAATGACTTGCCCAAGGTCACACAGCTAGATAAGGACAGAACCAAGACTAGACTCTGGTCCCTAGTTTTAGGACCCTGCCTTTTTTTTTTTTCATCTCCCTTCAAGGTTCAAGAGGCGCTAATGTCTTCAGTAATAGGCAGTGATTCCAACTGACAAACTCTAACCTAAGAGCCACAGTATAGGATCCTCTGTTTCCTAAAGAGACCCAGTTCTAGGAAGTTCCCCCTAACAGCTCCAAAGCAGCTTGAGTAGGAGGATCTCATGCAAAACAGCCCTGAGGCCCCTCCCACATGGACATACCTTAGCCCCAAGGTGTTATCCAGAGTGACAGAGTGGGTTTCTAAAGCTAGCACAGGAAGAGGCCTCCTCAGAGCACCTTGGGCAAGCTGCCCTCTCCCTAGGAGAACAGGGAAGGGGCAGGTGCCAAGCCTTCCTCCCCTGTGGCAAAGCTTTGCAAGGCCCAGCTAGTCCACCCTCTCTGGAACAGGTCATGCTGCTTGTTTTCCAGGCGACCCCACGGCCTATGATCTTTTCTGGCACACAAAGCATACTGAATAAATGAGTGAGTGTGTAAAGAAATGAACAATAGCAAATCACAGCAGCAAACTTCAGTATGTAGGGTACGGATCTCTCTGGAATCTTACAGGCTCCCTGCTAAGCCACACTTTTACCTCCAGGCCATTCTTTCCCATAGAAGAGCCCAAGAGAAAGCCCCAAGGGCCTTGGCCCATGTTTCATCATGGAGATGGAAGCCAGACCTCATTCTGTTCCTGGAACGGCAGGCTGTGTTTGCAGCTTCTGTTTATGTTCATACAGATGGTATACACGAGACACTAACAAATGCTCCCAACGAATAATGAACTTTCTGCTACCAAGGAACCCCCCTGGGAATATTTGCCCCCCAAATTCTTGCCATTCCTGCTCCCATGAATCCATCCCAAAGACAAATCTTGGTCAGGGGACCAGGCACCAGGCAAAAATCACCCTCTCCTTCCCCTGCTTGGGAGCTCTAGCTGCTCAGACGGAAACCACAAAGTCCCTAACACCACATGCCATTCCTAGGAGACAGCCACAGCACTGACATTCACAGGGGAGGAGTCATCCCGCCTGTCTCAGGGGAGGGGAGGGCAGAGGAGCTGCAGCAAAATGGAAACCCATTCACTGCAAAGCCACTGGTTGGCTAGCGGAGGCCAAAAGGCAGCTTTGGTGTTTTGGAAAACAAAACAATCACACGTTGATTTAGGGAATCTGTAAAAGCAGAAAGGTTGGAAACAGAAGGAACTCTTAGCAGCTAAGATGCGCTTACCACTTCAAAAAAGACATGAGGCAAAGCCACCCCCCACAGGACTTGCTCCAGACAGAAACAATTCAGTGGGAAAGCAGCACACACTGGATGTCCTCGAAGAAAGACCTGGATTTTTCTTCCCTTTAGGACCTAGGAGGTCTGCAGTGAAGACAGACACCCTCCATGTCTCCATGAGTAACCATGATCAAGAATACTACAGACCAAGCTCCCAATTTTCCCCATCTGGGTGTTTTGCCTAAAAATAGAGTGAGTATGGCACCTGGGACAATGACCAGGGATAATTTGAAAGTTGGCCAAAGAAGGAAATCTATCAGGTATGTATCAAAGCATCACCTGCAATTTTGCATGTAAAAACAAAATACTTTAAAAAAAAAAAAGCAAAAAGAAAATCTGGGACACGACCAAAGCCAAGATGACAAGTTCAGTACAAATAAGGCTTTTAGAGAAAAAAAAAGGCTCAAAAGGTCACAGAGACCCTAAGCTGTCGTGGCACTAAGATAATGGGACAAACTGACCCAGCCCCTGAAAGCCAGCTTGGAGAAACGGGCCAGATGGGCTCAACAGGAAAAGAACTGGAGGAAATATCTAGTATTTATTGTCTGTGCTGACTTCCTTGGGGACTTGGAAGAACACAGTAGGGTGCTGCATTGGATGAGCAGAATAAAAGCCCACAGAGCTTTTCCAGGCCCAAAATAGCCAGTGGTAGATACTAACACGCAGAGTCCTTCCACTCGGGAGAACAAAGGTAGCGGTTACTCATTCAGCTTCCCCACTGCCTGTCTTGTTTACCATACAGACAGCCACACAATACCCTGAGTCTTTTCGTATGCCTGTAAGTCATGGTCTCACTTTGGCAAGCTACACACGTGGAGGCCTCTCTTTAAATAATCAGCACCTTCCTCTAGAATACCAGAAATAGGTTTGTAAATTTTTAAAAAGGCTAGTTGAAAGGAACACAAAACCTAACTCTTAGAACATCAGAAAAAGCGTGAACTCCCTGGGCCCCATACATGCAGCCACTCTCCACATAAGCAGCTAACCTGGCCTGGCATAGGGAATGGAGTGCAAATGGGTGCAAGATGGCCTCCAGTTTGAGGCTCCGGGCTGAGGGAAAGTAGAACAGAAAGAAGAGAGCAAGGAATGAGATTGCAGGTATAACCCCAAAAGCAAGCATGGAGCCAAAGACACAGGCAGGGAGCAATGCTCAAAAATCAGGAAGACTTGGGAGCTGGACTCTGGAAGGTTCCCAGGAGGGTTGGGGATGTCTACGGAAGGGGACAGGGAGGTGGCAGGTCAGTGACCACAGAGCACAGGACCGATGGTTAGGAATCTCAGGAAAGTGAGGCATGGTAGGGGATTAGGGAATCTGATCAGTCTCATAGCCAGGAAACAAGGCCAAGCCTCTTCTTGGAGCTATACAACTGGGCGACGATTTATTTCCAATAATCTGAATGCTGTTGCCAAGCAGCCTCCAAAACCTAGAGACCCAGAGGGCAAGGAGCTAAGGGGAGGGAAAGCACCTGGATGACGACAAGTCTACGAAACCTTGCTATCTATGTGAGCTAAGGTCCCTCTGTGCATCACTTTCTGCACTATAAAGTGGTAATGACATCATTTGCCTCATAAGGCAGTAGAGAAAATTAGATTATTTAGCATTTGCGAAGCATCTGGAACAGCCCTTCACTTGACGAATGTGAAGTCGGCGTGGCCCAGTATTCCTTCCTTTGGAGGCAGCAGCGCCAGATGGCCCCTCAAGACCACCTCTAGATTGTCCCTACCTAGCAATGATCTCTCTTCTCATAGTCATAAAAAGGCTTCTCCTCAGGGGATCCCCTGCTCTCCCTCTTCTCACCTCTAAGCCCCAAGAAGGTGGGGCCTTGTTGCACCCTGACAGTAAACTACAGCATAGGAAGGAAAGATGTTGAGTCAGGGCTGGGTAAAAAAAAAAGAACAGGAATGAGGCCTGGAACCTTCAACCTGCCTCGGGTGTTCTGAAACTTGCAGGCCAAAGCGCAGTGGCCTGCATTCTCCGCCACAGGTGCTACTGATGGGCTAGGACTCTGGCCCTGCCCCAGACCTCTTTGGCTGGTTATTAGGGATCGCTCTTGGGCTATCACGGGAAGATGGAGAGGGGCGGCTTGGGTCAGGAGAAGCCACAGCATGCTGGTAGGAGTGACTTTCGCAGGGCTGTCCCAGTCATGGAAGAAGCTGGAACTGTCCCCCAGCAGACTCCTGCCCTTCCCTGGAGACCTGAAAAATGTCTTTCCCAAAGCTCTGCCTGAAAACACAATGCAGAGGATCAATAAATGGCACCAAATCCCTCCTGCCGGAGCCCATGCCGAGGAAGGCCAAAGGAAACCAAGAAGTCCTGCCACTAGACAGCCTCTCTCCTCTGCCTTCCCTCAGTCCTGTCCCTTAGTGACAAGGCTAAATAGCACAATGCTGGGGACAGACCATGGGGTATGATATCTTTGGTCCTAAAACAAAATTAAAAAAAGACATCAGCCACCTAAAGTTTTGGAAACCCCAACCTCATGGACTATATCCAGAAAAAAAGGCTTGATGGTAGGCTCTGGCCAGCATTCCCACCTCTAGAGTGCAAAGAAAGACTGGAAATTCAAAGCCTGGGTCACTACAGCATTTGTCTCTGCTGAATCTCAACAAACAACACACACACACACACACACACACACACCCACGCACGCATGCACACGCGCGCACACACAGGCACACTGAGCTTGGCAGCCCCAGAGCTCCGAGAGCTGGTAACACAAGCCGTGGAAGTGACTGCCAAGACAAGCAATAGAATGAGCCAGACCAAGTTTCATTGGCCACCATACGTTGCATATGGCCCGGGACGAAGCCAAAACAGTGTTCTCACCCTCCTCAACAGCATAGGAGACCCTCTGTTTTCAAACACACCTCCACAGAGCCTTAATTAAAGGAGAATGGAAAAATAGTGTGCCTGTTGCTCTCCCCCTGCCTATAGAGGTATTCGCACACAGTGCCCTGCACACGCTCTGCTTCTCTTCCTTCAACTTTGGGCTTCAAACGTAACTCATTCCCATGGAAAGAAAAGTCCACCGCATTCTGCAGTGTTAAAGAATATAAGTTGTCCTCAGCCCTGGGGGGTTAGAGGGGCCAAGGAGAGGTAGAGCTGAATGAATACAGAGCAGACCAGCCTGGAATCTGTGCTGACTCCTTCATTTCCAGAATGGAGAGACAGGGAGGGGAGGAGAGAGGAAGAGGGGGATGGGGAGAGGGAGTGGGCATATGGACTGAAACCCAGTAGTAACTCCCTCCATTAACAGACAAGGCCCAGAGGACCTCACTCTGCAGGCTGAAGGGGGTAGGAGAGAGGACACCCTGCAAACAGGTGGGAGAAACAGCAGGTCCAGGGCACAGGGGAGTTCCCTGGTGGCTGCAGAGTAAGGGAGACATGCACTCAAGCTTTTCCTAAGTGACACAGTCACCGTGATAGACACGTCTCCTTGGAGATGGCTGCAACCAATTTATTGACAAAGAAAGGAAGAAAGAGAGAGAAAGAAAGAAAGAAAGAAAGAAAGAAAGAAAGAAAGAAAGAAAGAAAGAAAGAAAGAGATCAGAGGCCTTCTCCCCAGTCCTTCCTGCAGACTTTCAAACCACCCAGCACCCAGCTCTTCAGGAAGATTCTGGAGCCGACTGCTCCTCTGAACTGAAGCCAACACGGAGGGGAAACAGAAGATTCTTTGAGAAATCCATCCTCCCTGCTTTAAGCAAAGCGAAACCTCGAGCACCCCGAGGCATAAGAATAGTCCTTGTTTCCATTCCCCTGAACCTCAGCTTTCTGCAAAAACCAAGAGTCCGGTTCACACCTGATCCCTGATTAAACTCTCCCCTAGAAACCTGCAGAGGAAGATAAGCCTGCCATTCACCCTGCAGCCAGATTTGTTGAAAAGCAGTGAAAGCAAAGATTTTTAAACCTCTAGGGGAAGGGATACTTGGGGATGGGGGAGTACCATCGGGGAGGTGCCACTCCACCGCACAAGGGCTGGGCAATCTAGCTGGAGCTGTTTCAGTCCATTGATTCCCTCTTTGCACCAGTCTCTCCACCTCTATCCCCAAATGGCCCATCCATTTCTGCAAATGAGCCAAGGCTTCCCAGGCTTGCCCACTCCCGCGGAGACACAGGCAAAGTCTGTCCCTGCCACTCCAGGATCCAGGAGTCCAGATGGAAGGCCTAGACTTCTTGGAGAAGAGAGACAGATGAGTTCCTTCTAAAACTGGGAGGTTACCTAAAGAAGCCTGCTTACCTTCTTATGTAACCTGATGTGCAGGACGGGATCCCAAGGGGACCCGGGACTACCCCGTGGTTCCCTCCTAACCCAGCCAGAGCCTGCAGCAATGGTCCTTAGCAAAGGAAGCACTGTTGGTTTAGATACGTTTCCCAATACCCTCTCGGTCCTGCGCTTTGGAGGAGACTGGGGCGCGACCTGACATCAGGTCTGGGGCGTGCTTATCCCCCGAGTTCCCCCGCAGTGCCCAGGACAGTTTTCTCCCGCTCACCCCGCCCTCTCCGCCGTCCGTGCACAGCACCTCCCAGCACACGCACTGGGGGAGGAGAACGAGGAGGGAGCGCCCGGCTGTCCCGGCCGCAGACAGGACTGCCCGGTCCAGCCCGAGAAGCCACGGGTGGGCGGCGGCTGCAGCTCTCCCCGTAGGGAGCTCGGGGCCCCGGGGCGGTGCGAGTCCCCAGCGGCAGCTACTACGACGGTGGCCGCCCCAGGTGCCCGCGGCCGCGCGCCCCGCCTACACCCCCACCCCCCGGGGACCCACCGTGCAGAAGCCGCTGGCGGAGGCGGCGCCCCCGGGCCCAGAACCCGGCTGCAGGCGCCGTGCCCACTCCGTGCCGCTGCCGCCCGCTGCCCAGGCCCGTCCCGGCCCGGGAGCCGCCGCGGCGCCAGCCCCGCCGCCGCCGCCGCTGCAGCCTCTGTCGCCGCCAGCGCCCCCCGTCGCGGCCGCCGAGCGTCCCTCCCGCAGGCTGTGGCGGGCGGCGGGACGGGTTGCATCAGCCCCGGCTATATAGCGGGCCCTGAGTCGCGGCGGGGAGGGGTCGGGAATGCGGAACCGGCCGAGCTGCCAGCTCCACACGTCAGAGGGGGACGGAGAGGAAGAGAAGGAGGGGACCGGGAGGAGGGGGTGTGGATCGCGCGCTTCACACCCACTGACCTTCACCTCCCCCGCTGCCGGCGCCCTCCTCCAGCCGCGGCTCGCGCTCCTCCGCCTGCCCGGCCGGCCGGGACCCAGCCGCGCTCGTCCCGGCAGCATCGCGGTCCCGCGGCGCGCCCCGCCCGCGGCTCCCGAGCGCGCGAGGCAGCAAGACCCGGCGAGCGGTTATGTAAGCGCATCCCCTGCTCGGCCGCGCGGCCGCCACCCCCGAGACGCTGCAGAGCCAGGGAGGCAGCGACACGAAGGCGGCGGCCGGACGAGCAGAGAACCCCTTCCAGCTCAGCCCGCGCTGAACCATCCTCCTCCGTCCGGTGCGCTCTCCCGCAAAGCCCAGAGCGAGGGTGACGTTCCGCGTAGTGATGTCTTCGGACGCTGCAGGATCCCGCAAGCCTGTTTTGTTTTCTTCCGTGGAGGAGCATGGGCGGGGAGATTAAGGCGTTTGCGAGCCTCTGTCCCTACCCACTGTCCACCCAAGCGCCCTGAGGTCCTGAAGCCATGCTGTGAGTGGACGGAAACCCAGACTGGAGCTGCAGCCTGAGGCCACCGTTGTGTCTGTGACTGGCCCAGCTTGACCCAAGGCTCTTTGCCCAACTCCCGCAGGCTTTCTCCTCCCTTTGACAGGACGCAGCAGTGAGAGGACCTGACTTCTGCAAGACCTCTAAAGGCCTTCTTCCTCAAGAACCCCCAGGGCTAGCGTCCACCTCCTCCTAACCTCCTACAGAGGTAGATGGTAAAGGACACTCCAGAGAAAATATGACAGTCCTTCGAAGGCTGGTACACAGAGCCCTCAGGCAGAAATACATGTGGCACCTGAGAACTATTGCTGTCATCCGGGGTCTCCAGACCCTTGGGTGACCAGCCAGCGCTGCCCCTCACCCCTGTACCTTTCTTTCTAAGCCAGAGAGGGCTGGCAATGTTGACACTCAGTGACCTTCAGACTCCTTCTCAGAGAGAAGGCAGGTCATCGCCCATAGAAGAAAGGAAGTGAAAGAAAAAACTCATGCCTTCGTAGAGTACAAATGCTCAGAGTGAGACTTCAACGTGGAGCCATGCCCAACAACACATCTCCATGCGCCTGCCCAAAGAGAGGCATTATCTCCATGTTTGCCTTAAACCTCCCTGCAGGGGAGGGCAGGTTGAATAGAAAGAGACAGACCAAGTCCCAGTGACATCGCCTGTCCATCTTCAAAGTCACCATCAGCAACTTCCCATACAACACTGACACAAGAAAAAAGAAAGTATAACCCCAGAAGAACACACTCTGCCAACTCAGTACTAATGGGATAGTCTTGTAGAAGAACATGACTCTCTGTCCCAGGAAAGCCAGCAACACCTTTACCCCAGCACAAAGATCAAAGCTGGACAGTGTGAAACTGGTTTACATGATGTTTCTCCCCCAAGATGAGGGTCTGGACATTTATGTGAAAGAAACACTGAACACGGGAAGCATTACTTTATGTATCCTCTGTTGGGACTTTGAAAAAGCTAAACTGATCTCTGTGCAGGGACTAATAATTAACATGTGTGGTTAAAGCTGGTACTCTCTGGGGCGTACTTCGGATCGTGGCTGGGTGACTGGTAGTCCTACTGGGCCTTTACTTCCTACAGAGATTAAACATGCTATAAGGAAAGCACTGGGGAGGGGGGCACTAAGGAGTCTTTATTCCCCCTCACCTCCCATAATATCCACTAGGCCTCCCTTCTTTGATACAGATGTTCTCCAGTTTTATATGCAAACACAGCTCAAGACCTCCCTTCTAGCATAGCGTACTGCTTCCCACCAGACCTCTCTGTGCAGTGGTTGCCTCCTGGAGAGGCGAGAGGGAGAGGCCAGAGCGGGGCTTCTTTGGGCAGATTTGCAGTCTCCTGATGTAACTGATCTACCTCAGGCTCTTAGGGAAACAATGGTCTAGCCTAAAGCAATCTGAGTTTAGGTGCCTTGTCTCTTGCAACTAAAAAGGTCCTGATTAAGATACACTGCCATGGCCAGTGGGCTGATTCAAAGATTAAGTCACGTAGTCCAGGTCAAATTGATGAAACTGGCTGGAAAGAGAGGCTACCAGAAGCTGACCTGAAATTAGTAGGTCCCACCTCAGCAAAGGTGGGAGTAACTAACAATGGAGTGCTACAATGGAGTAACTAACAATGGAGTCCCTACATCCTGCCAGGCCTGCTCTCCTCCCTACCGCTGGAGATTTCAGCTAGGAATCTGTAAACTGTGGCTTGTCTGAAGCAGCTTGGGTTTAGATTTCTAGTATTTGCTGCTGAAGTCCTCATCAGTGGAGTTTGTGTTGGGGGGTGTTGATAAAGATAGGTCAGTAGAATGATTTCCTAGCATGCATAGTCCCTATACCAGCATACACTGGGCATGGTGGAGCATACCTATAAACTCTGTGTTTGTGTGGTAGGGCCAGGAGGATCTGGAGCCCAAGTTCACCCTCAGCCACAAGAGTTTCAGGCCAACCTGGTATACATGAGACCATGGCTAAATAAATAAATATACACTGACTGTCCTATCTCTTGCTTGGACTATCCTGTTTTAAAGGTTAATGGATATTGATAAATCCCAGGCTCTTTGAAGAGGAAAAGTGAGTTAACGAGGTAAAACAGTTCCCCAGAACTGTCCCTCAACATCAAAAGGGGAAGCGATAGTTCTGACTAACCCACCAGTCAGCTCACCATTGCACTCGGTATTTACTGAAAATCTGTTATGTGCCTGTAACCTGTGACGTGCACAGAGAAGTGGCTCCTCACCTGTCCCCACCCTCATCTAGTTAGGAGAAAGGAATTAAAGGCAAAAAATAAGCAACAAGGTCAAGTGTAGCTGAAAGGTAATTACATGACATGAACCACAGGTACTGCAGGGATCCAGGCAGAATTCCTGCTTCAGTCTCCATTCCAACTGTGTCCACCAAGATTATAAACTACTGAAGCATCTTCACACATGATGGCGTTATGCTGTGGTCACTGTGACCTGAAATTCTGTAAGTCAAAGATGCATTTAACTCATCTAACTTACTAAAATACCAGGGCTTAGTCCAACCTACCTTTAGCGTTGCTCAAAACACTTGAGGCAAGTCTTCAAACACATAGCTTACTCCATGTGTTCATAGTCCATGCAGTTTATCCACAGCCAGACTGAAAGGAAAAAAAGCAGAGCGGTTGTATGAAGGTATGCTAACACCACTATAAAGTCGAAAGATAGTCAATCACTGGAAGTCAAGGATCACAGGAACAAGCTGATGGACTTCTAGATCAGGCTTTGTATTAGTTTCTTTTTCATTGCTGTGATCAAATACCCGTCAGGAAGGGAAGGGTTTATTTCGCCTCATGTTCTGGGGATAGCCAGAGTGTCTTGGTCATATCTGTGAACATCAGGAGCTGAGAGGGGAGCCATCCTGCACCTACTGGCTTGCTTTCTCCTGTTTTCCTCTTTATTTTGTCCAGGGCCCTAGATATGGGATGGTGCCACGTCTATCCAAGTAGGTGTTGTTCCCTCCGTCAGCCCTCCCTTGAGTTAAACCTCTCCTTCTGCTCCTCCTTCTCTTCCTCTGCCTCCTCTTTCTTGTCCTCTTTGTACCAAATATTTCACCCAAAGTTTATATGTCTACCTTCTTTTAAAAAAGCAAAGCCAGGGCTGTAGAGATGGCTCAGCTATTAAAGGCTAAAGATCAAAACCGAAAAACTCAAAACCAGGCAACTTTGGGTATGCATCCAGAAGTGAGGGCAGGCTAGGCTTTCTAGAAATAGCACACATCCCCCAATCCGTTGTCTTGACACAAGAAGAGTTACTCCTCACTGTTGTGTAACAAATTTTTTCCTAGGGAAACACAATATAAACATCCACTCACCCTAGATAGGGAGCCCACAACAGATCAACATACAGATACCACCCAAGTCCAATTTGGTGATCCCTGAGTTTTACTGAGGTTATTTATAGGAGCAGAAATGACTCAAAGATAGCTTTGTCACCAAAGCCCACCCCACCATGGATGACCGCTCACACAAGCTGGGATCCTGGAGCCCACTACACAGCCTGCAGGCAGCTCAGCAGGTTGGAGAGTGCCCTTTCCAGGTGCCTCAATTGGTCTAAACCTCTTCCAGACAGCTCTGCTGGTTTCTGCTTCTCCCAGGCAGGGGGTCTACTCTCCATGTTCTTTGCAGCTGTGTTCTCAGCTTTTTTTATTTCTTACTTCTGTCAGGGAGAGGTCTAGTGAATCTGGTCAGTTTCAGGGACTTCCTAAAGTTCCCTTGAGTTGTTTACCTTCCTGCTTGAGGAGCTTCCCTACAAAGTGTAGTGTTTCAACCTTGGGAGCCTGTTATACAACCCTCACAAAAGACAGCTATGGATCTAGATCACTGACCAGGGCAGTTATCATATAGGTGAGGGCTTGGTATTGTACCTTTGTGTCAGCAAGGTCACCGTGGCAAAGAGAGAAGAGAGGACCACGCACCAGCAGTCCAGTTATCCCTCTTAGAGTGCATCACTTCAGCTTCATTTCATTGGCCAAAGTAAGGTGGTCCTTGATTTCAAAGTTCACAGAGAAGAGAACCAGGAATTAGTAAGCGATTAATGTCTACCACAGCATGCACTCTCTCATGACAAATGATAGACTGGAATCCACTTGAAACGCTCCCTGGACATGGCATGTAAACACTACGGTTGGACACAGTTACATCCTCTTTCAGTCATTTCCACTGCCTGTCTGGATTCACAGGATGCTTGTTTTGACAAGTCCTGGTATAGACAAAGCCAGTCTCAGTATCAGACTGTTGTACATCCCTAATGATCTATGGCATTATCATCATTTCCCTTCCCCCACAGGCTCACCTTTTGAGTCTCCGTCTCCAGCTGGTAGTATTAATTGGGAGGTGGGTTGTAGCTGCAGGAAGTCACTGGGGATAAGTTCTTGGGCGTGTGCCTACTTCCTGTCTCACTGCTTCCGAAGCTGTCTTGATGTGAACAGCCTCTGTCACACATGATGGCTGTCACACCTTCCCTGTCATGGTGGACTGAAACTCTATGAAACCATGAGCCCAAACAAATCTTTCCTCCCTCACATTGCTTTTTTGAGGGACTGTGATCACAGCAAGCCCAAAATAACAAATACAGGATGTGTTCTGAATTGTCCAGTCACAATAGTTCACTTCCCAAGCTATAGTGATGGGTTCAGGGATAGTGTCATGATCCAGACAGCCAGAGCCTTCCCTGAGACTTGGTATGTGAATGCTAAGGAAGAGTAGTTTCTTTAAAATATCATTGGGGGGATGGAGAGACGACTCAGAAGTTAGGAGCACTGGCTGTTCTTTCAGAGGACCCAGGTTCAATTTCCAGCACCACACGACAGCTCACAACTGTCTATAACTCCAGTTCCAGGGGACCCAGAACCCTCACACAGACACTCATGTAGGCAAAACACAATGCACATAAAATAAATAAATTATTAAAGTATTATTGGAGGCATATAGAGTGCATCTATTGGCAGTCATTTTCCTATCATGTGACGAGAGTTGAGCCTAGAGAGGAACCACTGCATAGAGGAAAAGTTCAGACATACAAGAAGAGAACTAGCCATGAGTTCATCATTTGAATCGCTGAGTCTAACATGTCATGTGGACATGCTGGACCAGTTTTAGACACTGTAGCGATGGAGTCAAACCCCTCTTCCTTTCTTGGTAAGATAGCTTGAGTCAGGTTTTCTGACACTTGCCACTAAAAGAATGTTGAAGAATACATACAGAAGATACCCAAAG